CAGGAACAGTGTCATTCCAAATCACTGCTGTTAATATACCTACTTATTATCCAAAGAACACCAAAACAAGAGATCTGAATTTCTGTGTTTTAGTTGCTACTTCCTGCTGCCAGGAGGTGGTGTGTTTTACTTAAGAGACACCTAACCACAGTTACTTTGCGATTTCAAATCAAAACATTCTAGTGACTGAAACAATAAGCAAGAGAATTATGTTTGGTAACAGACAACAAACATTTCCTAAAATGTAGTTTGATTGAAGTTCTGGAAACATTTTACTGAACACATGACTACAACTCCATTTCGAAATGTGTTAGTACTGCTGCATCAGAGTAGATGCTTGACAAATACATTGTGATCTGAAGGTCACACATTCACAAGGTCCTTCTATTTATTTTATATGTTATCACTTACAAAAGGTAATTAGTAATATGAACTAATTTATTTTGAAATCATAGGGTGAAAGCTATGTATCATTTATGCCATAAATAGGGATATTATGTGTGCTCCCAAATATCACAATATTTCTGAATATTATAGAAGACCTTGGTCACAACAGAGAAGAAGAATAAACATAGAGAAGGTGAGAAAGAAAAAGAGGGGGAGCTATTAACACAAACAATATAAAAATGCCGGCAAAGACAAGATCAAGAGTAAGGGATGATAAAATTTATCAAGCAGGGAAAATAGGTTGTGGTGGTGTACACTTGGAATTCATCAAGAGTAAGGGATGATAAAATTCATCAAGCAGGGAAAATAGGTTGTGGTGGTGTACACTTGGAATGTCAGCACTCAAGAGACTGAGGCAGGAGAATGGCCAGTTCAAAGTTACCCTGTCTTTAAAAAATTATTAATTGGGGGAAAAGAGAATTACCAGGAGCCACCATAATATAGGCCAAATTTTTGCTTCATGTGAAAATAGATGAGAGTCAAAAAAATCTGGGAGGCAAATCTTGATTATGGAATTGTAACCTCTTTGTATGTATGTGTGCTGGTTCTGAGGCTTGAACTCAAGACCTGAGCACTGTCCGCAAGGATTTTTTTTTTTCTTGCTAGTGCTCTAACACTTGAGCCACAGCTCCACTTTTTTGGTGGATAACTAGAGAAAAGTGTCCCATGGACTTTCTTGCCCCAGCTGGCTTTGAACTGTGATTGTCAGATCTCAGTCACCTGAGTAGCGAGGATTACAGGTGTGAGCCACAGGCACTCAGCAGAACTGTAATGTCTTCGAACAACTTCTTAATAATACTTTAAAAAGAATTTTGATATATGATGTAAGATGCATGCCTAACTTTGTTTTTTCCATACAAATAACGATTAGTCTGTTTAATAACTTTCTAGTAAAACTTTCTGGTAAATTTTACTATTCGAGTAAGACAAATTTACCCAGACTATGCTAATCCTTTTATTTTCCTAAAATGCCCTAATAATTCTCACATATTATTCTTTTATATGCACACTAGAATAGTAGTATAATCTCCAATTAAATTTTTTTAGGGAGGGTCGGTCATGGGGCCTGAACTCTGGGCGTGGGCGCTGTCCCTCAGCTCTTCAGCTCAAGGCTAGTAGCACTCTACCACTTGAGCCACAGCCCACTTCAGGCTTTTTCTGCTTATGTGGTGCTGAGGAATGGAACCCAGGGCCTCATGCATGCAAGGCAAGCCCTCTACCACTGAGCCACCTTCTCAGCCCTCCAATTAAATTTTAAAAATATTAAGACCTCTTATCTTAGTTTAAAATTTGTTTTTAGGCATTTTGTTCTTTGCTTAATTTTTACTTACTTTTTTGTGCCTGTCCTGGGGCTTGAACTCAGGGTCTAGTCACTGTTCCTTGGATTCTTTTTCTCAAGACTAACGTCCTAACACTTGAGCCACAGCAACACTTCCAGCTTTTTCTGAGTAAGTTTATTAGAGATAAGAGTCTCAAGGATTTATCTGCCCTTGCTGGCTTTGAACTAGTTTGAACCACTACTCAGCCTCCTGAATAGCTAGGATTATAAGCATGTGCCACCAGTACCTGGCTCAATAACAACATTTTATTATTTTTGTCAGTTTTTGTTTAGTGGTGAGAAAAGTAGATTGAAGGAAGTCTTGTTCCAAAGCAGTCATATTAGTTATTTTTTTGTAGACTCTGGTCCCAAGAGAATTTTAGTCTTATTTTTGGCTACAAATGAAGTAAATAGGAACAGGAAAACAAGGAAGAAAAAAATTCCATTAGTAGTAATTCACATTTTCTGCGGACTTATTTCTTAGATTACTGAGGGGGTTATTGGAACTGTAATAAACTCTTTCGCTTTTTTTTTTTACTCAGATTTTGTAGCTTTTATTAAATGAAATAGTAACATAATTGTGTTTCACTTGAAAGATAGCTATTGGAATGCCAGTGCAAAGCATGCATTAAATATTCTGGGGGTGAATATTTTAAGAAGTTTGTAAGTCCGTGTTTTCTCACTCTTCTTCATTTTGTCAGTTAATGTTTTTTTTTTTTTTTTTCGGTCCTGGGGCTTGAACTCTGGGCCTGGGCGCTGTCCCTCAGCTCTTCAGCTCAAGGCTAGCGCTCTACCACTTGAGCTACAGTGCCACTTCCGGTTTTCTGTTGGTTTATTGGAGATAGGAGTCTCAAGGTCTCTCCTGCCCGGGCTGGCTTTGAACCGCGATCCTCAGATCTCAGCCTCCTGAGTAGCTAGGATTACAGGCGTGAGCCACCAGCGCCCGGCTTTTGTCAGTTAATGATTATTGAATCTTTTTTTGTCCATGAAATGCTGTACTATTGTTTATGGATTGTATTCCAAAGCACCTACATGTAGTCTATTGGAAAAAGGAATAGTCTTATATGGTGATTTACTGGGTATGCTACTTAATAAATACCAGCTCTAGGCAATTTATACAATTTATACAATCTGGCTTGATCTTATAATGATCTCCACTGTAGATGAGAATGATGAGAAATGAACTCATTGATCTGACTGAAGACTTGGCTGGCAGTGGGTGAAGTCAAGATTCCTAAGAAAGGGCTAAGGGAACTCAGAATATATTTTTTCAAATTACCTATTATGTTGTATATTTATATACAAATATAAGATTTTAGGCAATTTTATTTATGTAATTTCATACTGTATCATATATGTCCTTTTTTAACCATATATGACTTTTTATCTTTGGGGGGTCTTTGCAAATGAAATTTGAGAATATTCAACTTGTGGTTTCATGTCAACTTAGAATTTTATTTTAATTATGAGGCTTGAACTCAGGGTCTGGGCACTATCCCTTAGCTTTTTCACTCAAGGCTAGTATTCTACCACAGTTCCAGTTTTCTGATGGCTAATTGGATATGAGTCTCACAGATTTTTTTTTGCCTGGACTGGCTTTGAACAATGAACTCCAGATCTCAGTCTACTGATCTCAGTAGCCACTATTGTGAGCTACCAGCACCCCACTTCAACTTCAAATTTTTTTCTTTTAACCAACTTAAGAATACCTGTGAAGAATACTTGTGAAGAAAGAAATTCATTGGACTGGTAAATGGACATAGCCTATCAAATGCTACATTTATGTATTTCTGACACCTGATTCTGTATCCAGAATGCATTCAATTTCTAACAATCTTCCCTTAAAAACAAAATTCAAAAGTAAAGTATTTTATATCAAATGGTTATGACATAAAAGTTCTATGTTACCATGGCTATTTGCCAACCACAGATTCTGAAACTTTGTATGCTGTATGTACACACTTACTTTAAAAGGATTTTTGTAAACGTGAGAAAATCGGAGTGTCATGTCAACTTGATTTTCATTTCTTTGGGGCCAGCAATGTTAGCATATTAGATCCCCAAATACGATAACTTAACCATTTCCTTATGGGTGAACACAGATTATGTTTTCTACTGTGGAAAAACAAGGTACATTAATAAAAACTTTTTTATCTTCATTGTATCAGATATTCCTAGAAATCTAGCAAATCTTTCCAGTTCTGTTTTTGACAGAGAGCTATTAACAGATCCGTTTGGATAAATTAATGCCATTAGAGGTATTATCTGTGTCACTGTCAATTCCAGAAGTAAAAATTAGAGTTAAGTTTCTACCTCTTCTGTCCCCTTCCTCCCTAAAAAAAATCAAAGCAGGGTCAATCTTTCTTTTAGGTTTAGTTTCTTTAGTTTCTTAAATCTCCCAGGTGCATTCCCTTCAGAGGCTTGGACCAAAAATATATCGTGTTCTTTGATTAAAAAGAAATCTGGCCAAACGATCTTCCGTTGGGGAGGGAGGGCTGTCCCAAACATTTATTCTCCAACTTGTTACCTGGGGCTCGGAATGGTCACCTGGGAGCGGGGTGACTGCTGGGTGCACTCAGGCTTTTATCTCCCCCGCACACAGAGGGGAAAGGGGTTAAAAGTGTGAATTCCCAGGCAGGACCAAGGAAGGCCTGGCAAAAACAGGGTAACATTCCAGGTGGGTTGTTTTTCTCAACCACGACACCAGGTTGTTTACTCAGAGCTGAAAGTTAAAGAGGAAACCCTTCCGGGCCTCCTCCCTGCTCGCCGGGGGTGGGAGGTGGGGGGAGATCGGCCCTCCGATCTACTTCGGAAAGGAGCCGGACTCTCCTCGGACCTCGGGGGGCGAAGCGGCGAGCCGCCCGCGGAGCGCGCCGCAAGCCCACCCGGGGAGGGACGGGACCATGCCCGAAGATCACCCGAGGGACACCAGCCCTGCGTGGCAAAAGGCCTATATCTATTCAGAAAGTAATATCCGAGGGTGAAAGCAAAGGAGAAGTCCGCTGGATCTGAAATAAATACACACGGAAGCAAAGGAAATCGCAGCCAAAGACGCCGGACGGTGCGCCGCACCTCTCCCCGAGCAAGACGGGGAGGCGCGTGCGGGCGGCCCCGCCCCGCGTCCCTCCCCTACCCCGTCCGGCCCCGCCCCCCTCGCCACCCCAGTTGGGGCGGGGCCCGCCCGCCCGCCACTTCCGAGTAGCGAGCGGAAGCGAGAGATTTGAATTGTCCGGGCCGTTGGTGGAGCAGGCTGCTGCCGGTGGTGGTCCTGCGACCGGACAGCGCCAGCCGCGCGTGACGCGTGTGACGCGGCCGCTTCGCAACCTGAGGCTCGGCGCGCGCGCGCGCGAGGCAACGGCGCAGGTCAGAGAGAGGAACGGGCCCAACGGATGGAGGAGGCGTAGCGGGCTGGACGGACGGACGGAATGGGTAGCGGGGGCCAGGGGCTCCGGAGCGCCTAGCTAGGGACGGGATGCGGGGGGGGAGGGTGTCCGGTGTGGAGACGAGGGGCGCGGGGGGCTGAGGCCGGGAAGTCGGCTGGAGCGCTGGGGTAGCCGCCCCCCCCCCCGGTGTGGCGGTTGCGCCTGAGTGGTGAGAAGTCGGAGGCCTGGCGGCCCACCCCACCCCACCCCTCCCCGAGATTGACTCGTGCCTGTGTCCTTCTCACCCTGTAGTGCTTCCGTTCCCTCGGCTCGGATGCTGATGCCTACAGCCCCGTTGACTCTCGAGCAATCGTCGTCGCAGGTATGGACATCGCGGAGGAAGGGGATGGGGAGGGAGGGAGGGTGTCAGCCGGCGGATGCAAGGGCCCCCCTCCTCCCCTCCATCCCTCCGAAAGAGGGGTGCCCGGGCCGATTCATGACAGCCTTTGGAAATGCCTGGCCAGGGCATTTAAACTGAAACCCGAGCCCCCTTTGTATGTGAAAAACCGGATATTTTCCTTTCACGTTTGACCTTTTTTAAAAAAAAAAACAAAACCAAACCAAAACAAAAAAACCTCCCCTGTACTGAAAAATAAAAGGGAGACTTACTCATTTGCACTGGCTACAGTAACAGCCGTGTTGCACGGGGTCGCAGCTGCTAACAATAGGGAGAAGGTTGGGTTCCAGCGTTGTCCCTGCCCTCTTTCCTCCCTCTATTCATCGCCCAGCTCATAGGTTGTTGAGAGAGTCCTTTGGAAGAATTCTCAGGCCCGTGGGTGCTGTTTGGATTTTTCTTCTTGTTCGTACCATCCTCGTTTCTTTTTTTTTTTTCTGTTTTCTCGGTTTCTGGATGGATTTCCAGCTTGAAATTTTTCTCGATTTCTCTTCTCTTTTCCTTTTCTTTTTCCTTCCCCCTCCTTCCTTTCTTTTTTTTTTCCACGTCGTTTTTCGTGATGAACTACATTCCCTCCCCCCCCCGCCCCCAGACCACAAAATAAAAAGGTCATTCCTTTTTGAAGAGTAAATGTTAAACCATGAGTACGTGTTTAGTAGTTTTGTCTCTTAATGGAAAACTTGTGAGACTAGTTTGGTATTGCTTTACAGGGAAAGATAGTTTATTTTAAGGTTTTAACACTTAACAGTACAGTGTAATTATATGGACATCCTTTTTTAAGTAGCACTTGATATTCAGAATAAAAACATTCCTTCATGTAGTACTGGCAGTTCTTCCTTCCCTCAATTCCTGCTAATAAACTTTTCAGTATACACTAGGAAAAAAAGATTTAAAGAGGAAATATTTAGGATCATTGAAATATTTTTCATAAGACTGCAACAGAGACACTGGCTGTCCCTTCCCAAGGATTGCAAATAAGCATTCTGTTCATTTCAAATATGCCACCTGCAAATAATTGTTTTTATTTTTATTGACTTCTACACCCGAATTTACTTTTCCCTGCCTGGACTGTCATTATGTATTTTATTTCCTTTGTCTAGTCATATCAATGAATTTCACATTTGATTGTGTATGTATATTACTTTAAAGGTTGGTAAATTCTGATTTCTGAACTTCAAATCTTAGAGGCTCTGAATCAGTAGGGTAGAGGGTTGTGTTGAATAGTTTGCGTATTTAACTGAAAGGCAAGAGTTTTAGAGTTTTTAAAACACTGCCTTAGTCTTCCCTATAAAAATGTTCTAATATAGTTGGTTAAATGATAGAGTTGAAAACAGATTGCCATGGTTTGAATCCCAGTTCCATTATCTGACAGTGATGAGACTTTGAGAAAGCTATTTGACCTCTCATTGTACGCCAGTTATCTCAACTGTATAATGGAGATGATACCTTCTTGTAGGATTATTGTGAGTATTAAATTAGCTAATACATTTTCAAACCTTAGAGTGATGTATAGAACATAGTAAATGATACATATTTTATTACAGAGTTGCTAAACTGTACAGATCATAAATTGTCTGCTGTAGATAAAATTTTCAGATAACAAAATAGGGCAAGAAAGTTTCAGTAATTTGTTTTAATACAATCAATAAAGTGTTTGATTAACAGATTTAACTAAAGAATGTGCCATTTATTGTTTTTAGTGTCTATTAGTTGTACAAAGGGATTTCATTATATTTCTAATATAGGCCCATAATATATTTTGATCAAATTCACCCTTTCACATTTTCTTGCCCCTTTCTCCTCTTTTAAAATAACTTTGATGGGTTTTATTCTATTTCCATAAATTCATATAGAGTATCTAAATCATTATTGATCCTCTCTTTATCCTTTCCTTTTACCCTCCTTCATCTAGCTGTTACTTACTCCCAAACAACTCCCATTTTACCTTTATGTCTTTTTGTTGTTACTGTTTTTTTAAGGTCTAGATGCTGTACTTGTCTTTCATAGTCTGGCTTATTTTTCTTAACTCCCTTTTTACCCATTTTCCTTCAGACAGCATAATTTCATTATTCTTGATGGTTGTTTGTGTATATATATATACACATATATATATACCATATTTTCATTGCTCATCAGTTGGTGACTACTTAGGCAAATATGTTGGGTTTTTTTGAATAGAGATGCTATACATAAACATGAGTGATCAGATATCTATTGTATCATGACAAATTCCTTGATTATATCCCAGGAGTTATAGCAGGATCATATGGTAGTTCTGATTTTCATAGTGGCGACATTAATTTACATTTCTAACAACAGTGTATAGAGTTCCTGTTACCCTGGATCCTGGCCAGCATTTGCTTTCTTAATTATTGCCATTCTGATATATGGGATGGTTCTCAGTGTTGTTCTGATTTGCATTTCCTACCTTTTTGAAATGTACTACAGTACTTCTTGACTCTCTGCAGTCTCCTTCTAAGTGTTGCTCCATAAAAATCTCTGAATAGCTTCCTACTGTCTATAATATGTAATTCAAATCTCAACTTTTTCTTTCTTTACCAACTTCTTCATAGTATTGTTTCTTGATTCTATTTCCAAGCAATATGTGGCTTTTAAGCTTTATGAGTATGGAAAAGTAAGTATGAAATCATAAGCTCAGAAGATATTTCAAGTGAGAAAGAAACCATGAGCAGTATTTGTTTATATTCATGAAATTCCAAATGCTTTATATATATTTTCTTAATTCTTATAACCATTTTTATTATACCATGATAAGATGAGAAAATGGAGTAACTTTAGTAAATTTAGTAACTTGAAAACATTTTGTTACTTGAGATGTGGCTAAAGTGATTAGAAGTTCTACTTAGCAAGTGAGAAACCCTTACTTCAAATTCGTGTACAGCCAAGAATGTTTATATTTGATTTCCTTATGAGGCTGTTTTATTTTTTAAAAATGAGTGATATATGCTGTCTACTTAAAAAGTGTTAGAGAATTAAAAAAATCTGTCTTTTCACTTTGAACTATTAAATCTCCATCCTTTTTTACAAAAAAACCTGCCCAATAATGTAGTGTCATCATTGTAAAGACCAGTGGGTTGGTCTGTAAAGTATATAGTATTAGTGTGTTTCTATTGGTAACTATTTCAGAAAAAATGAAAGTATTAGGTTCAGATATATGTATATATAAATAGATACATCTGTATCTAAATAGAGAGATGAGATAGATATTGGAATCTAGACCGTTAACATGATTTCCTCTTGATTTTTGAAGTTGGAATACTTAACTTTGAAATTCAAGCTTCAATGTAAATTTGTGTAACTCAGCTTTATTGCTACAAATATAAAGAAATGGTGGGGGCAAAAGTCCAAATATGGCAAGAGACATCACTCAAGTAGGAGAGTATCTGCCTTGCAAGTATAAGGTCCTGAGGGCAAACCTAATACTACCAAGAAAAATACAACAAAAGTGGCAGCTTTTGAAATTTCCCTAATGTAATATGTATCAATAGACTGTGGGTTCTGCCTCCATGGATTCACCTAATCACTAGAAGAAACTGCATTGATGTGAAACATGTAGACTTTTTTCTTTTTATTCCCTAAACAATAGGGTATATTTACATAGTATTAATAAGTAACCTAGAAATGATATAAAGTCTATTGGAAGTTACAGATAGGTTATTTGCACATACTGAATAGAAGCTAGGTGCTGGTGGAATATACCCTTGTAATCCTAGCTACTCAAGAGGCTGAGATCTGAGGATCATGATTCAAAGCCATCCCTGACAGCAATGTCCAGTCCATGATCAATTAAACACCAAAAAGCCAGAAGTGGAAATGTGGATCAAGTTGTAGAGTACTAGTGTTTTGAACATAAAATCTTAGAGATAGCACCCCTATTCTGAGTTCAAGCTCCAGGACTGGCAATCTAGTGGAATGGGAGGTCCATCTGAAACCAATCACCCAGGGATATCATGAGGATAACTACTTTATTCATTTGATTGCCAAATAATAATATACCATTGCATATGCTATCAAGTGAGATTTAGTAATATCCTTATAAATAGTGCTACTGTAAATATTCGTATGGAAACCTTTTGTCTGGATACCGTTTTAAATTCTGTTGGGTATATACTTAGTAAAGTTACTGGGTAATATGGTAGTTTTTTGTTTTTTTGTTTTGGGTCGGTCATGGGGCTTGAATTCTGGGCCTGGGTTCCGTCCTTCAGCTCTTCAGCTCAAGACAAGCTCCCTACCACTTGAGCCACAGAGCCACTTTCTGTTTTCTGGTGGTTTATTGGAGATAAGAGTCTCATGCACTTTCCTGTCTGGGCTGGCTTTGCTTTGAACCACGATCCTCAGATCTCAGCCTCCTGAGTAGCTAGGATTACAGGCATGAACCACCAGCACCCAGCTTAATATGGTAGTTCTGAAATGTTTAAAACATCGAGAAACTGCCATACTTTATTCCACAATCACTTAGCCATTTGTATCGCAATGTATGTGTACTTCAGTTTTTCCATATCCCCAATACAGTTTTTTTTTTCAGTAATGAGGATTGAATACTGAACAGACAAGCACTCTTCCCCTTGAGCCACACAGCTACTTGCCCATTGTTTTCATTGTTAATATTGTAGATTACCCTAGTGGACATAAATTGGTATATTGTTATGGTTTTGGTTTGTATGTTCCTGTGATGTTTTCATGTTCTTGTTTGCCATTTGAATTTTTCCTTGGAGAAATGTTTACTCACTTTCTCCACTTTTGGCTTTTTACTTGTTGATTAATTGGAGAGAATCTTGGATTTAACTGCTCAAGCTGGCTTTGAAAGAGGATCCTTAGATCTCAGACTCCTGTAGTTTAGCTCTGCTTAAGCTTTTGTTGTCATATCTATCAGTTTTATATTGGACTTTTTACCTTTCATCTACTTT